TTTTGTGGTGCCGATGTATGCTCTTCCACAGCTGCACGGAACTCTGTAGACTCCTGGTGCTGATAAAGGATCTCGTTTGTCCTTGGCCGATCTCAAAGTCTGTTGGATGGTTCGAGTTGGTTTGAAAATGGTTTTAACTTGGTGTTTCTCCAATATCTTGCCGATCCTGTCCGTGACTCCATGTATGTACGGGAGGCAAGCCCAATTGGGAGATCACTTCGCCCACTGCCTCATCGCCTTTGAAAATGTCCACCGCAGTTGTGGACGAAACGTCAGGAAGAAATTCCGATAGACCACGGCTTCAAAGCCCGGAAAACATTTCTAAATGTAATCTGACCGGCCGTGAAAGCCTTCATAATATGTAGAAGTAACTCAAGAAATTTTTGGTAATTTTGCATATAGCATATGAGCTCTAGCGATGGAAATAAACACGAAAAAAATGAAAACCTCGTTTGAAGGGACTTGCAAAAGGATGTTTTACTACGCATCCAGGTTGAAAAACAATCTCTGTTTGATATGCAGCAAATTAAAGGAAAATTCATTATAACTCAAGAAAACAAATTTTTGCATATACGTTTCACGGGTTCCTATACTCACGTCTTCTATTATTGCACTTCAAAATCCCTAGAGTTTTAAGAGCTAGAGATTCCATAGTTTTAAGTCACCCCGTATATAGGGTATCCAAATAGATTTTACTTGAAGAATTTACAGGAGTGGAAATTTTATTTGAAAATACAAAATATTAAATTTTTGAAAACTGAATCCAGCCTGAGAATTCTGAATTTGAAAGATTTTGTTCAATAGAAACGTTAATTAAAATTTTACAGTAAATTGCTTAATTATTTTAAGCAACAAATACGCAGCTGATTTATATTTTTACTTTCATATAAATTTTCAAATTCCACAGAAAAAAATTTACTATTTATTTTAATCCATATATTTTTTTTTGCTTCCACTTGCGGTTTGTATTCTAAGACTAAATAACACCAAGAGGGTCAAATTGCTCACATTTAAATTGCTAATATCTTAGAAAAATTATTGATTTCACATTTTCTGGTTGATGTAGAAAGGAAAACGAGTCCAAACTGCCTGTTGAAGGGAATAATGCAAAAATTGCTTTTCTATGGAATACACCGAGGATTTTGAAAAATGTTTGAACGAGTACAAATTTTTGCGGATTGATTATTTGTAACTCTATTCCTAGTGAGTAGCAAAAAGTTTGATTTTGTGTTTTATGAATGAATTTCAATAACACCCTACACATCCACAATGGCGTATTTTCGCCGATTAAAATTATTCCCATTTTTCAAGAATCTATAATTCTTCAGCTAGACTATGTACAAACTGTTTTTGCCAGCGTTCGCCTTCATGCAACTTAATCGTTCGAAATAATCGACAAATTCAATTTGAAATCGTGAAACGAACGTTTTGGTATTTTATTTAAGATACATGGTGTTGTAAAAATTAATATCAAAATAGTTAACTACAGGGTCATTCTAAATTGGCGTCATTGCTCTGGAGGTGTTGTCTGGCGCTGTTATAGGAGTACAGAAAAAACAGAGAAACAAATTAATTGTTATTAAAAACTGAGAAATTTGCAAAAAACTATATCAGAAATACGGCAGCAATGTTTTTCAAGCTAATCTGCCTAATTAAGATTGCGCAAATACCTGTGGCTTCGTAATTATTTAAAACTCCGGTAATCATGGAATTAATTGACAAGGGCTTTCCACCTGTAACTATCTGTTAATGACAAAAAACTTCATTGCCGCTGTTACTTTTCATCAAAAAATTGCAGAAGAAAAATTTTTTAGTATAAAAAATTTTCGTAATTTGAAGCAAAGATCGCAATTTTTGTTTCAATGCTTAAGTATTCCAATATACTACCAATTAAACATGGAACCATTTCAAAATAATGCTTAATAACAAAGTTGAAATTCGGTCTTCAACTGTTAATCTTCTAGAAATTTAGGAAAAAAGAATTTTCAATATTTTTCTCGTACTCCCCAAGGGAGCCTCTATCACCCCTTAAAAGGAATGACGCCAATTTTGAATCACCCTGTAGAGATTTATTGAGCAAAATGAATACTAGCTTCATCATATTATTTTCAATTTGAGCCTCCATATGTTCGATATACAGGGTATCAAAGTTTAAAATCCATTTTGGTTTACTTTGAATAACTTCGTAGCTCGCTCCATTATTTGCACAGAGCAACCCAGAAGAAGGTTGGAGGGTTTTCCAGTCTGGAAATTTCAATTTCCTTCTAGTTTAGGTGCATTCCTGTGTTGTTTTCTCCGAAGGTGTTTAGGAAGTACAGGTAAAATTATAAAAAAATATATTCTTATTAAAAACCGAGATATTTGGAAATAACCAGATCAAATATGCGGCAACAATGTACCTGTTCTTGACTGCAAAACTTTAGAACAAAAATATGTTTACATCAGAATCATGCAGATTTTACTACATTATTTGGCATTTTACCACGTATCATTAGAATATAGGAATATTGGATTTTTTCTTGAATTCAGAAATTTTCAAAACCTTTACATTATTTTTTCAAAAAAGTCAAATCTTGATAACGATATTAAAAATTACAACAATCTGCAAGAGAAATCGTAAAATATTCAATCGTAATCGAATCACATTAATTTCTGAATAAAATAAGACGAGGCAGACGGAAAAATTGATGCAAAACCATTTATATTGCAGTATAAAAAGCAGATAATGATAACGCAAAGTAAAAAACGTTAAACGTTTGTTTTCGAGTAAACAATTTTCTTAACTGATTGGCGTGAAATTTACGTAATTGAAATTTCAATTTACACCAAAATTCAAAATGATCGAAAGAGTTAAATTGCTTAAAGCGGATGAATTTTTTAAACTGTTTTTTTGCCAAAACTTTTCTGACTTTTCGCTCGCACCAATACGCATCTTCAGAGGTGTATCGTCTGTAGCTAACGGAACAGAATTTTTTTCCACCAGAAGCTAACAGCCCGAAAAACTGAAAGAATTACTATAATGTACAAAAAAACACATTACTTTCCCAGCATAATAAGATAAGGCAGACTGAAAAACGAATTCCAAACTAATTGTATGTGTAGAGAGCAGAAAATGGAAAAGTGAAGCAAAGAAATTTCAAAGCAAGAAAGGAACAAGTCAGAAAATTGAAAATTTGGAGGTAGGAATTTAAACTCGGGTTTGGCTCTTTAGATAAAGTGGAACTGTTTAAAAATATAACTTTCCATCTGCTGAAACATTTCAGTTTTGAATCACCCCGTATAATAAAATTTCGCGTCTAAATTCTCGTGTGCATTTAGAGGAGTTTTCTTGAAAAAAAGTGTCAAATTTTTCGAGAAAATGTTTTGTAGTAGTAAAATAACATTAATGGTGTGTCATACATTGAAGAATTATGCGCACAAGGGACCGTTGGATATTTCATGCAGGAAACGTTTGATTAGCCGCCCATTACGAGGGGATTCTTCGAATTTTGACGTCACACGGAAATCGACCTACCCAAATGACGTAGATTTTGACGTTGCGTAATGTGACAAGTGACTAACGGCGAAACATTAAAAACCGAAACAACTCAAGGACAGACCACTACTAAATAATGCAACCGGACGATCAACACAGCCATCCATCCATTAGCTGCTAGATACATTTTTGAGTTGAGTGGATTTCCTCAATGGAAGATCGGAAATTTGCCAAAAACAAGCCGAACTTTGGGCCGGCGATGAAAAATTGAGGCATCCAGAAATGGGAAAAAAACCTGGCAAAAGGTGTGGGGGAGTCACTCACCTTTCTCAAACCGATAGAAAACTAGAATGGGGAGCAACAATGGTGGTATTCACCGTGAACCAAAACTCAAATGAGGCGCGCTTCGATCATCGGGAATCCAGTTGGACCGTTTGTGAACATAGTTTTCGAGTGCCGAGATAGTGAGTATTTGGAACTACTGCGATGTGACATCCCCGATCCATTTCTGGTGCCAGACTGAATGTGGAGGCGTATTGACGTCATCAGCATGCGCCCCGGCGTCGCCAGGACGCGTCGACGGCATCGTTCCGATGGGAAACTGGGTGAATTAAAATTTCGGTTTGGGGTGGGAGCGGGTGGTTGGCATATTTTTAGCCATTGACGAGGACCAGACAAATAATGGAACTATCCGGACAAGCTTCCGAATCGGAAGACAAACAAGGCCCTTGGAGATCTGCGGAAAAACGTCTGGATTGTCGTCATTGATGGCTACGATCGACATGTTTTTACTATCGGACCTCTATAATCCCTTTGGATTACTGTGAATTGGAAATTGAAAACACATTCTCAGGGTGATTGCCCGTTAGTTGACACCCCCCTAGATCATTAGTTTAAAATATTGAAAAAATATGTTTGTGCCCGTGTAACCACGTTCTTGCGCACTTTTTGCAGCATTATAACTGGAATCACATCAATTTTGAATCACCCTATACAGGGTTATTCACGCTATACGGCACGGAAGTTTGCGGCTAAACCGTTTGATTTTTAAAAAGTAATATTTTATTAATTGTCCGACGCCCACCGAGCGCACATTTTAAAAATATTTTTGTAATGTACAGGGAGTCCCAAAGACTCTAAAGGTATCAAAGTTGCGTTTTTTTAAACGGAATGTCCTGTATATTATTGCATTTTTGGATTCGCTGAACAAAATAAGTGTCTGGTTTAATAAGGTTTATAATACCTAGATCTTAAGGTTTTTTAAATAATACGAATTTAATCAAAATCTAATCTAATTTTCACGTGTCAAATACTTTTACTTCTAATAGAAGAATACTACTAATAGAAGTATTTAAGTTATGTAAGCGTAATTTATAGTAAAGTGTAACAAGATATAATATTTTATATCCCAATGATAATAAACGTACCATGTTATACAGGGTGTTCACAAATTTAAACTAATCAATACCACTCATATTTTTTAGCTTACCAGGAAATGCAATTTTTAATTACCTATCGAATGGTATTAGGATATTAACAGCTAAGTTTTTGCCTTTTTACAAAATACGTCAATTAGTCGTTCTGTGCACCATTTGATGTTGTTTAATTTAAAGTTCCAATGTATCTAAGTTGCCTATGCCATTTACACATGTCAAATCATTTAATGTATTTGTCAGTTTAGACTGCAAAGTCTCTTTTTGATAGCTAGAGTGGTATTGTTTTTTGTAATTGTAGACGTGTTGGTCGTTATTTTCATATTATTATTGTGTTGCTAAGTTAATATGAAGAATTATCCAAGAGAAGAGCGTATTGACATGATTTTCACCCTTGGAGAATGTCATAAAAATTGTTTATTGGCTTCTCGAGTTTATGCTCAAAAGTTTCCTGAAAGAAATCATCCTAAGCCAACAGTTTTTAAGCGCTTATTACACCAATTTGAGGAAACCGGGAGTGTCAATTATAAAAAACCCATTACAAGGAAATCGGTCACTGAAGATAAAGAAAATGTTTTCACGGTAATTGGTTCAGTTATCGAAAATCCCAATGTTAGTCAAAATCTAATATCCAAAAGTACTAACATTAGTCAATCAAGTAT